TTCCTTTGTAAATAAATAAATTGGAATTCTTGTGTCTACCTCAATCATGTAAGCATTTTGATGAGCATGAGTCATATTCAGGTCTGGTCACTTCTGGGAACTACAAGTCTTCAGGATTTTAAAAGATGACCTCTCTCTTACATGATACTGCATTTAGGAGCATGTGTTCATTCAGAATCTTTTAAAACTTCCTCATTCCATCCTCTCCCCACTGCCATCAGTAATATTCATTCTGTACCTGAAACTCTCATTTTCATTCTTCTTCTCTATTGCATGGTCCTTTGATTCCCGGTTACTCCTCTATTCCTATGTATTCACTGAAGGTTGAGGAGGGTTTTCTGGAAATCCATGGTTTTGCTGATATTATGGTTGTTGCTATTAGAGATCATGATCATATGATGAACCTAGGCTAGCACCCAATTTTTCCTTCTCTATCCAAATGTGTCTAGAAACAATTAATATTTGATGTTTGCCTAACTAGAAAAATGGCCTCTTTATAGGTTTAAAGGGATTTTCCCCAGAGATACATATGCTCATTGGTGACTTTCCCAAGAACTCCCGGCATTTGCGTGTTGCCTAAACCTGCTGCCAAAGCCAATACCCTTTATTTCCTGAGTCTTACTTGAATGCATTAATCTGGATTCAATAAAGCAGTTTTCTGCTGACCTGTCAAAAAAATCAACCCCTCAAATGATTAAACTTTTTTCTCAAGTCCTCTTCCAAACAAGTACAGGGCTGCCCAGAGATTTATCTTGGCAAAACTTGAACATAGCAAACCTAGTGAATGCTGGGTAGAAATCCCATCATTAATCCTGAAAGAGGTGACTGAGTTTACTTGGCATTCGCCTTTGGCCTTTGGCCAGACATGCAACAACTTTTTCTTAGTGAAAAAAATAGAACTAAAAGCATTCAGGAGACAGGAGAGATGGAGAAAGGGAGGAGGAAAGGAGAAAAGGAATCACATAAATAAGAAATATGTTCCTTTGGGCTTATGAGTCAGAGTAATATGTTAAAACTGAATCCCAAATATGGGCTGAAATTTATTTTATGCTGTATTATTTTTATAATTGCTTTTCTAAGAGCAAATACCCCAAGGAAACCTGTTAGATCTCAAGATTTTACAAAGGAGTATAAAAGTTTTAAAGATTACTTTTAAAATCACTCTTTCTCCAATGTATGAGTTAGTATCTGAATCCCAAAAAAATAAGAGTCATCTAAAACAAAGAAAAAGGTGTAAAAGTTCCTATGTAGTTTTTTTGTTTGGTTGGTTTTGAAGTATTTTTATTGTTGTTGTTGTTATCGCTTTGTTTTATTTTATTTTTGTATCAGGGATTGAACCCAGCAGTGCTTAACCACTAAGCCACATCCCCAGCCCATTTTTTATTTGATATTTTGAGACAAGGTCTCACTAAGTTGCTGAGGCTGGCTATGTACTCGTGATCCTCTTGCCTCATTCTCTCCAGCCACAAGGATTACAGGCCTGTGCCACCATGACTGGCCTATGTAGTATTTTTAACTATTTTAAAAGCAAGTAATTGTATCACTAAAGAATATTTTTAGTTTGATCACATTTTGGAAAAATCACTTTTTTCAAAGTTATAAGGATCTCATACTCATGGCAGTTAATAAATAACCATGATTATTTTTTATTATTTAGTCTTCTTGGAAGATGTCCCATTTAAAATACATTTCGATTAGCTAATCACTTTTATGTGGGCACCATAAAACATCACCATGGATATATCAGAACTTGTATTTATACACCTAAAATAAAAGAATTAACATTTAGGAATTTTTTTCAGGCCTCTGATAGGAAATATGTGTGCTACATCAATAAAACTATTAAGAGAATACACACACACACACACACCAATGTATATAAGTATTAAGACAAAACTAATAGTGAATTTATATCTTTAGAAGCCAATTCGCTTATTTTACAAATGAGAAAACCAAGATCAAGAAGGTTCTAAATTAGATAACATGATGTCAAGATAGTAAAGAAATTTTTTCCCACTTCTTTTAAAATTTCACACTAAAAGAAAAGTGGGTAATAAAATCTTTAATTTTAGTACAACTAGAGCTATATAGCTCTAAAGAAAATACATAAATTCAGAAAGCATAAGGAGAAGTGGTAAATGATTTAGCAGGCAGAAGGAAGATTAAACCTAGAAGTTTTCTGGTGGAATATTTTGGATCTTCTAAATATAGAATCAAGTCATAGCAAATAGTGATAGATTGAGTTCTTCTTTTCCTATGTGTATCCCTTTAATTTCTTTGTCTGTCTGATTTCTTTAGTTCGAGTTTCCAGGACTATGTTGAATACAAGGGGTGAAAGAGAGCATCCCTGTCTTGTTCCAGTTTTCAGAGGAAATGCTTTCAATTTTTCTCCATTTAGAATGATGTTGGCCTTGGGCTTAGTATAGATAGCTTTTATAATATTAAGGTATATTCCTACTATTCCTAGTTTTTCTAGTTATTTTGAACATGAAGAGGTGCTGTATTTTGTCAAATGCATTCTCTGCATCTATTGAGATAATCACATGATACTTGTCTTTAAGTCTATTGATGTATTACATTTATTGGTTTCCATATTGTAATGATTAAGTTGAATTGTCAATTTGATTGGATTAAGAGATGCTGAGGCTTAAGCATGTGTCAGTGGGTGGGGGGGGGGTCATGATTGGCATGTGGGATAGCCAACTGAAATGGAGACCTTCCCTAAGCATGGGCAGCACTATCTAGTAGGATGATGGCTTGAATGGAATAAAAGTTGGAAGAACAAGGCAGCAGCAGCAGATGTAAGCTCTATTTTTCTTGAACAGCTTCTTGATTGCTGTTGTGATCATCTGAGGATATCAAACTCTCTGTTCTTCACTCTTCCAAAGAGGACTCTGCCAAGGATTCGCCAGAAGCCTTTGGTCTCAGACTAGGTTAGCACCATTGATCCCTTTGTTCTGGATCTTCAGCCTCTTGTACTGCACAGCTACTGGTTCTTCCAGCTCTCCAGCCTGCAGACGGCCATTGTGGACTAACCAGCTTCTGATCATGTGTGTAAGCTAATCTAATAAGTCCCCTTTTTATAATCATACTTCCTGTTGATTGTGTTCCTCTATAGAACCCTAATACATGTATATTGAACCAACTTTGCATCTCTGAGATGAAACCCCCTTGATGGTGCTGCAATGTCTTTTTAATATGTTTCTGTATGCAGTTTGCCAAATTTTATTGAGAATTTTTGCTTCTATGTTCATCAGGGATATTTCTCTGAAGTTTTCTTTTCCTTATATGTCTTTGTCTGGTTTTGGCATTAGGGTGATACTAGCTTCATAGAATGAGTTTGGAAGGGTTCCCTCCTTTTCTATTTCATGGAATAATCTGAGAAGTATTGGTATTAATTCTTCTCTGTAGTTCTTGTAGAACTTGATTGAGAATCTATCTGGCCCTGGGCTTTCCTTGTTTGGTAGGCTTTTGATGGTATCTTCTATTTTCTTGCTTGAAATTGATCTATTTAAATTGTGTATGTCCTCCTAATTCAGTTTGGGCAGATCATATGCCTCTAGAAATTTGTTGGTGTCTTTGGGATTTTCTATTTTACTGCAGTATAAATTTTCTAAATAGTTATTAATTATCTTCTATATTTCATTAGTGTCTGTTGTGATATTTGCTTTTTTATCACAAATTTTAGTAATTTGAGTTTTCTCTCCTTTTCGTTAGAGTGGCTAAGGGTTTATCAATTTTATTTATTTTTCCAAAGAACCAGCTTTTTGTTTTGTCAATTTTTTGAATTGTTTCTTTTGTTTCAATTTCATTAATTTCAGCCTTGATTTTAATTATCTCCTGTCTTCTACTGCTTTAGGTGTTGATTTGTTCTTATTTTTCTAGGACTGTGAGATGTAATGTAAGGTCATTTATTTGTTGACTTTTTATCCTTTTAATTAATGAGCACAATTCAATGAACATTTCTCTTAGCATAGCCTTCATAGTGTTCCAGAGAAATAAGCAAAGTAGCAAGATATAAAATCAATATCCATAAATCAAATGCATTTCTGTACAAAAGCGATGAATCCACTGCAAGAGAAATTAGAAAAACCACCCCTTCACAATAGTCTCAAAAAATAAAATAAAATACTTGAGAATCAATCTAACAAAAGAGCTAAAATGGCTCTACAATGAAAACTACAGAACACTAAAGAAAGAATTGAAGAAAACCTTAGAAGATGGAAATATCTTCCATGCTCTTGGATAGGCAGAATTAATATAGTCAAAATGGCCATACTACTAAAACTGTTATACAGATTTAATGCAATTCCTATTAAAATTTCAACAACATTCTTCACAGAAAAAGAAAAAGCAATCATAAAATTCATTTGGAAAAATAAGAGACCCAGAAGAGCCAAAGCAATCCTCAGCAAGAAGGGTGAAGAAGACGGCATCAAAATACCAGACCTTAAACTACAGTACAGAGCAATAGTAGCAAAAACAGCATGGTATTGGTACTAAAATAGATGTATAGACCAATAGTATAGAATTGAAGACACAGACAAATTCACATAAATACATTTATCCCACACTAGACAAAAGCACCAAAAACTTATATTGGAGAAAAGATATCCTTTTCAACAAATGGTGCTGGGAAAATTGGAAATTCATATGTAGCAAAATGAAGTTAAACCTCTCTCTATCTCTCACCCTACACAAAAATAAACTCAATGTGGATCAAAAACAGGCAATAGAACAGAGACCCTATGCCTAACAGCAGAAACAATAGGCCCAGATATTTATCATCTTGGCTTAGGACCCGCGACTTCCTTAACAAGACTCCTAAATCTCAAGAAGTAAAATCAAGAATTAATAAATGGAATGGGTTCAAACTAAAAAGCTTCTTCTCATGGGTTGAGGTTAGGGATCAGCAGTAGTGCATTTGCCTGGCATGTGTGAGGCACTGGGTTCAATTCTCAGCACCACATATAAATAAATAAAATAGATCGAGATCCAACATGGCGGCGGGCACGGAGGTATCAAGTCTCTGACTTCTCCAGCTACGCGGGCATAGGGAGTCTTAAATCGTCTAAATGCTGTTTGCTCAAGATCACTAGGCATTGCTGAGCTAACGTGGATCTGGGGCGAATAGCCTGCTCCTCTCAGAACACACACCAAGCCCGTAGCGGCCGAATTCAGGCTCCTGTTCGCCTGCGTCTTGCAGACAAACTACTCTGGCTCAGTGCTAAAAGAACCCGCGGAAACTGCTTGTCGGCCCCAGTCCCGCCGAATCCTGTAGAGGTAAATGCCAACCGAGCCTTCATAGGCAGTGGCAACAGGATTGAGACCGGGCTCGGGAGGGCCGGTCAGGACCCACCCGTTGCTTTGGTCACCTGGCAAAGGGAACGAAATGCTGCCATTCGCATGGGATACCAACATGGCAGAGAACTAACGTCACCAGAATGCGGCGGAGGAGATAACTTCATTGAAACCAGCGGCGGCAGGTGTGTAACCCCCTAGACCCCCCTCCACACAGCGGGGAAACCTCAAGGGCCCCTCCCAGCTCTCCCGTGAGCGTGATAGTCAGACCGAGGGATTCAGGAGTGGTGCGGGACCCGCGGCGTAGGACCCCCAGCCACCGCTCCCACCAGCGCAGACAACTGAGGTCTCTTGCACCAGCTACCGGGGGTGTGGCTACAGGAGGGCAAGCAAAATACGCCGAGGGCTATCAGCCCCAAGCTCCACAACCTTAGAGACTGAGGGATTGGCAAGCAGGGAGAGTGTGCCCAGCCGTTCAAGAAAATAGGGCTCCCATGAGTAGCAGACCTGGCGTGTAACCAGTATTGTGGTGAGCATCACCTGTGAACAGGGCCAGTGGTGAGGTAACTAGACACAAGAAATGGCCTGAGGCACTCAGGAGTGGAGACCCGCCCAGTCGGGGAGGAGGAGTTGCTGCACAGTGATTGATTCCCACACACTGAGAGGAGAAGCTTGGCCAGGTGGGCACAGCTCCACCTACTGGAAGAGAAGTTAATCGAACTCTAAGACTGCATTTTTTAATTTTTTTTTAATTTTATTTTTTTTTCTTTTTTAATTTTTTAAAACATTTTTTGTATTATTTTTTATTTTCACTTTTTTGATTATTTTTTTAAATTCTTTCTTTTTTATTTTCTATTTTTTTCTTTTGTTTTTTCAATTCTTTTCAATTACCTTATTCCCCTTTCCTTGAATTCTATCTGTTTACTCTCATTCTCTTTTGTGACTTCTTCCCTTCTAATACCTTTCCTCCCAAGCAATACGACGCTGTTTATGTGTAATTTACTAAATATGTATAGGTCAATGTTCCGAGACGTTATATAGTGTTACCAAGACCTTAACTTCCCCCAAATACTCCAGACCATTCTCCTTTTAATATCCCTCATCAGTAGAGCAACCTTCCAAGGTTGCCAAGAGATACCAACCTCAATACCATCATATCACTCGACCTAAATATAAGTCCCAAGACTAAACCGCAGACCGCTATATGCCATCAGAATCCATACACAGTTTAGGAAACGAATGAATCTATACTAAAGTGCAACAAAATTCATCATCTCTAGTCATAGACTCCCATAACTAAAGAGAGACCCCAGAGACACACAAAACCAAATAAATTTATAGGAGTAAACAGTAACTCAGCAGTCAAACAGAGCAAGAAGTAACATAAGCAGCATGAAAAAGCAAGGAAGAAAAGGAGTACAAACAATGCAGGACAGCCTAAATATACAGGAGGACCTAGACGCATCAGAAAAATGGTCAAATAAAGAACTCAAAGAATACCTTAGACAGATGGAATGGTATCTTAAAGAGGATATGAGACAGCAAATTCAAACAATGAAAGAACTCATTGAAAATGAAATACACAAGCAAATAAAAGAAGCAAATAAGCATCTTTATCAGGAGATAGAGATTATAAAATAAGATCAAACAATAATTTTAGAAATGAAGGAAACTATAAACCAAATTAAAAACTCAAATGAGAGTATCACTAACAGAGTGGAGCAAGTAGAAGCCAGAACATCAGATAATGAAGACAAAATATATCATCTTGAAAAGAGTCTAGCCAACTCAGGAAGGCTGGTAAAAAATCATGAGAAAAACATCCAAGAGATATGGGATAACATAAAAAAAACAAACTTGAGTCATCGGGATAGAGGAAAGTATAGAGGTTCAAACCAAGGGAATGAACAACCTGTTGAATAAAATAATTATAGAAAACTTTCCCAGACATAAAAAAGGAAATGGATGTACAAATTGTAGATGCATACAGGACACCCAGCATACAAAATCACAGTAGACCAATGCCAAGACACATTGTTATGAAGATATCCAATATACAGAACAAAGAGAAAATATTAAAAGCTACAAGAGAAAGGAGGCAGATTACATTCAGGGGTAAACCAATAAGGTTAACAACGGATTTTTCATCACAGATGCTGAAAGTGAGAAGATCCTGGAACAACGTATTTCAAACTCTGAAAGACAATGGATGCCAACCAAGAATTTTGTATCCAGCAAAATTAAGCTTCATGTATGACAATGAAATAAAAATCTTTCATGATAAACAAAAGTTAAAAGAATTTGCAGCCAGAAAACCAGCATTGCAAAGCATCTTGAGCAAAACACTACACGAGGAAGAAATGAAAAATAATAACCAAAACCAACAGTGGGAAGTACCTCAGTTAGCCAGAGAGCAGGGGGAAAGCTAATCATGGAGAAACAAACCAAATTAAAAAAAAAAAAAAGATAAATAATCAAACATGGCTGGAAGTACAAATCATATTTCAATAGTAACTGTAAACGTAAATGGATTAAACTCACCAATAAAGCGACAGAGGCTGGTAACATGGATGGATTAAAAAAACAAATCCAACAATATGCTGCCTCCAGGAGACACATTTGATTGGAAAAGACATACACAGGCTGAAGATGAAAGGTTGGGAAAAAACATACCACGCACATGGTCCGCATAAGCAAGCAGGGGTAGCCATCCTCATATCAAATAAAATCGACTTCAAGACTAAGTTAATCAAAAGGGATAAGGAAGGACACTATATACTGTTAAAAGGAACCATTCACCAACAAGACATAATAATTATCAATATTTATGCACCAAATATGGTGATGCGACGTTCATAAAACAAACTCTCCTCAAGTTCAAGATTCAAATAGACCACAGCACAATAATTATGGGTGACTTCAACACTCCTCTCTCATCATTAGACAGATCCTCCAAACAAAAGTTGAATAAAGAAACTATAGAACTCAATATCACAATCAATAACCTAGACTTAACTGACATATATAGAATATATCAACCATCATCAAGTGGATATACTTTTTTCTCAGTAGCACATGGACCCTTCTCAAAAATAGACCATATATTATGCCATAGGGCAACCCTCAGTAAATATAAAGGGGTGGAGATAATACCATGCATTTTATTTGATCATAATGGAATGAAACTGGAAATCAACGATAAAAGAAGGAAGGAAAAATCATACATCTCATGGAAAATGAACAATATGTTACTGAATGATCAATGGGTTACAGAAGACATAAAGGAGGAAATCAAAAAATTCTTAGAGATAAATGAAAATACAGACACAACATATCGGAATCTATGGGACACAATGAAAGCAGTTTTAAAAGGTAAATTCATTGCCTGGAGGTCATTCCTCAAAAAAAGAAAAAACCAACAAATAAATGAGCTCACACTTCATCTCAAAGCCCTAGGAAAAAAAGAGCAAAACAACAGCAAATATAGCAGAAGGCAAGAAATAATTAAAATCAGAGCGGAAATCAACGAAATTGAAACAAAAGGAACTATTGAAAAAATTGACAAAACTAAAAGTTGGTTCTTTGAAAAAATAAATAAGATTGACAGACCCTTAGCTATGCTAACGAAGAGAAGAAGAGAGAGAACTCAAATTACTAACATACGGGATGAAAAAGGCAATATCACAACAGATGCTACAGAAATACAGAAGACAATTAGAAATTATTTTGAAACCCTATATTCCAATAAAATAGAAGATAGTGAAGACATCGATAAATTTCTTAAGTCATATGATTTGCCCAGACTGAATTAGGAGGATACACACAATTTGAACAGACCAATATCAATGGATGAAATAGAAGAAGCAATCAAAGGACTACCAACCAAGAAAAGCCCAGGACCGGATGGGTATACAGCAGAGTTTTACAAAACCTTTAAAGAAGAATTAAAACCAATACTTTTCAAGTTATTTCAGGAAATAGAAAAAGAGGGAGCCCTTCCAAATTCATTCTATGAGGCCAACATCACCCTGATTCCGAAACCAGACAAAGACACCTCAAAGAAAGAAAACTACAGACCAATATCTCTAATGAACCTAGATGCAAAAATCTTCAATAAAATTCTGGCGAATCGGATACAAAAACACATCAAAAAAATTGTGCACCATGATCAAGTAGGATTCATCCCTGGGATGCAAGGCTGGTTCAATATACGGAAATCAATAAACGTTATTCACCACATCAATAGACTTAAAGATAAGAACCATAAGATCATCTCGATAGACGCAGAAAAAGCATTCGACAAAGTACAGCATCCCTTTATGTTCAAAACTCTAGAAAAACTAGGGATAACAGGAACTTACCTCAACATTGTAAAAGCTATCTATGCTAAGCCTCAGGCTAGCATCATTCTAAATGGAGAAAAATTGAAGGCATTCCCTCTAAAATCTGGAACAAGACAGGGATGCCCTCTATCACCACCTCTATTCAATATAGTCCTTGAAACACTGGCCAGAGCAATTAGACAGATGAAACAAATTAAAGACATAAAAATAGGAAAAGAAGAACTTAAATTATCACTATTTGCAGGTGACATGATTCTATACCTAGCAGACCCAAAAGGGTCTACAAATAAACTACTAGAATTAATAAATGAATTCAGCAAAGTGGCAGGATATAAAATCAACCCGCATAAATCAAAGGCATTCCTGTATATCAGTGACAAAACTTCTGAAATGGAAATGAGGAAAAACACCCCATTCACAATATCCTCAAAAAAAATAAAATACTTGGGAATCAACCTAACAAAAGAGGTGAAAGACTTATACAATGAAAACTACAGAACCCTAAAGAGAGAAATAGAAGAAGATCTTAGAAGATGGAAAAATATACCCTGTTCACTGATAGGCAGAACTAACATCATCAAAATGGTGATATTACCAAAAGTTCTCTATAGGTTCAATGCAATGTCAATCAAAATCCCAACGACATTTCTTGTAGAAATAGAGAAAGCAATCATGAAATTCATATGGAAAAATAAAAGACCCA